GATAATTTCCGGCAGACTAGGTGCCTCTAGGCACATTGCTGCCTCTCTTGTCCAAGTCCAGCACTACAATACCATTACATCCACAATAGCCCGACGGCTACAAGAAAGTCCACCAGCGCTCTTATAGCGATGTCCTGGCCCTGTGCAGGGTTTAGCAGAGTCTGCAGAGTAACATCACTCTGAGGGGCGGACGCAACAGTTTGAAATAGCTCTGCTCGTTGAGATCTATACAGCGGACACTCAATAAAAACGTGTTTGACAGTTTGGTCTTGTTTGCAGTGTTGACATAATCCATCCGGGTGTTTCCCGATTTTGACTAAATCCCACCCAAGGCCACAGTGTCCCAACCTCAGCCTGACAGCGGCTCTCCTGTCTTTACCCGTATATACTGACACTGGTTTTACTGATGGATTTAAACCAAAGTAATGGCGATCCCTAAGGTCGCTTTCCCACATTTTCTGCCAGACAGCTGAGGTGTATCTCTTAATAGTTGACTTCCATTCAAGCACTCCTGGGACTTCTATCTCCCTCTTCAACGCCCATTTTGCAGCCATGTCAGCGGTCTCATTCCCATACACCCCCACATGTGATGGCACCCACAAGAATCCTACACTCCCCCCGGCTCTCTCCACTCTGAACAAGATAGCCAGCAGCTCTGCGATGAGGTCAGGCCTGGCATTAGCTCCACCACTCTCCAAAGATTCCAGGACAGATGCTGAGTCTGAACATACTACGGTTTTCTCTTGCCTAGTTTGCTCTATCCATTGCAAGGCCGCAATTATTCCCATCAGTTCTGCAGTAAACACAGAGACATCAGGGAGTCTTTTGAATTGCAGGATGTCATACTCTGGGACATAAAATGCAACTCCAGTCTTTCCGGTCTCTGGATCTTTAGACCCATCTGTATACATTTGCAGAAATCCCTCCCATCTAGTACTTATAGGGCCTGAGACACTGACCCCACGTAGTTGAAGCCTGCCTTGGCGAGACTCATCACAGTCATGTCTATCTCTGGCATGGGCAGAATCCAGGGAGGCACATCGGTCCATACCAAATGTGGAGCCACTCCTACATCACCGAATCGCAGCCTCTCCATCTCTTTCCTCATCTTATACACAAAGGGTCCATACTTTGGCTTAGCACCCCATTCCCAAACTTCATCCAGCACCAGCTTGGCAGGATGACTACCAGGATAAGCTATTAGTTT